CTTTGGGTCTGAAACACATCGATTTCACACCAGGAGGTTTTACTAGTTAATTTTAAGAAAAGCTCTTCATTCCTTCACTTGGTAGTTCATGCAACTGACATTGGGAGCCTTGTCTGTGCCCAGGCACTGGCTCTGTGGACAGAAGGGCAAGGAAGACAGACACTGGTGCCCCCTCCGGCTAAGCTGGGAGCTGGGCTGCAGGAGGACCTGAGATGGTGCACTCTGGAGATGGACAGGAAGGTTCCAGGCACTGGAGACCAAGGTCTTCCTTAGAGCACAGCTAGCGAATGCCTTCAAAGGAGGAAAGACTGGGTATGACCTGGTGCTGGGTCCCAGGGAGCCATGACCTACAGACAGTCCCCCTAGGAATAGCCCCTATGACTGTCCCCTAAGACAGTCCCCCAGTCCCTCTGGGAAGCCTGCCTGGGTTGTGCATCTCTTGGTGGGGCACTGCCTCCCTTAGCCAGCACCTTAGACGCACACTAAACCATAGAAGACTCGGTGCTGAGAAAGCTCTCGGTGTGAAGTTAGACCTGAGAACCTGTGCAGTGTGAGATCAAGCCTGTTGTTCAGAGAGACTTGTCAAGAGCAGGTTTAACGGCCCCTGCGACTCAATAACACTTAGTTCTGTCTTTCAGTTGGTCTCTTTATCTTATTAACAAGTCTTGGTAAAGACTGTTTTGGTAAAACCCCAGCTGTTTCACAATGTCTTCAGTATTTTACCACATCACCGTGACTCCACTTGAGCCCATGGCTGGGCTGGGACCTGACCCCAAGGTATGGGATTTAATTTCTATAAAGGGAAGGAGGAACAGGCTGTCCATGGGAAAAGCAGTCTCTTTCTATGGGAAACTTCGCGTCTCTCTGCTCCAGCTCAGATCAATTGTTAGCCATGGCTTCAAGCTGGACCCACTGTGCTACAGCCTCACCAGTGCTCCCTCCCACCACAGTCCAGCACCAACATGCCAGGCCCCCGCCCGCTCCAGGGAACACAGGCTGCGGAATATACTCCTATTTTATCTTCAAAGTACAGAGCTGTCCTCTGTGGGAGGCCTTGATTTCCTCCTCCCCCACCCCCGGGGCCATCAGCCGGGCCAGGCCAGCGCAGGGCCTTTCATCTTATTGGTGCTTCTGGCTGACTTTTCAAGTCTTTTTGATGCGTTTTTACTCAGGAATCCAGATGGCAGGCAGCTGACTTTAAAACTCTTTCTAGGGACACTCTTCCGAAAGTGTGTTTAGCCAATTCCGGACTGAGAGACAAGGGTAGGGACTGGGTTACAGAGGACTGAACCTAGCACAATAAAACAGGGGTCTGCTCTTGATGATGAGCAGTGTTTCCCAAAGTGTGGTACGCGTACCCCCAGGGGTACGGGAAGAGTTTGGTGGGGGTGTACGTTGCACCGGAGTTTGGTGGGGGTATGCACTGCACCGTGCTTAGCTGCACCTAATTCTACATTCTCGTGAGTATGAGGGGTACTCAGCGTTACGAAACACTGAGTAGAGCAATCATGTCAAACTAGTGGCCCGTAGGCAGTATGCGGCCCACAATGAATATTTTTGCGGCCCAGCAAAATATAATAAAAATTTCATAACTTAATAAAAATTTCATAACTTACCGTGTTTTTCGGACCAGAAGACGCACTTTTTTCCCCCCCAGAAGTGGGGGGTGGGGGGGGAAGTCCCTGCGTCTTATGGTCCAAATATAGCCTACACATATACTTTAAAAAAAAAGTTTTTTTACTTGCCCGGCTCTGTGTGGTCTCTGTGTGCTTGCCCGGCTCTAAAACTGGTTCTATTAGGTCTAGTAATAATTAATGTCGTTTTCTAATACCTTTTTAAAATCAAATTTATTTAAACAATACAACAAATTTAATCAACAATATAGTTGCCGTTGTTTTCTACTACTTGTGCCCAACGCTCAGGAAGCATTTTAATCCCTCTGTTGTAAAATTCTTGTGATTTTGATGCAAAAAATTTGGTCAATGCATTTTTGAGGCATTCTTCATTATTAAATTTTTTTCCAAGAAGAAAGTTTTGCAAAGAACGAAACAAATGGTAATCGGAAGGGGCAATATCAGGAGAATATGCAGGTTGAGGGAGAACTTCCCATTCCAACTGGCGCAGTTTTTCAGCAGTGATTCTTGCAGTATGCGGTCGTGCGTTATCATGGTGAAGAATTACGCCCTTCCGATTAATCAGCGCGGGTTTTTTTTCTCTTAAAGCAGGCGTCTTCAAACTATGGCCCGCGGGCCACATGCGGCCCGCAGAGGAGTCTGATCCGGCCCGCCAGGTTTTTTGGGCAGTGAGCGTAGCCGAGGTGTTACAGTAGGAATTAGTAGTTCATATAGTCCGGCCCTCCAGCACTCTGAGGGACCGTGATCTGGCCCCCACTTTAAAAAGTTTGAGGACGCCTGTTTAAAGCCTGGGCTAACCTTTCCAATTGGGCACTATACACTGCACTTGTAATGGTTTGGGTAGATGGTAAAAGTTCATAATGAAGAATTCCTTTAAAATTCCACCAAACACACAACATCACTTTTTTCGCATGCAAGTCAGGTTTTGGCGTGGGTTGCGGAGCCTCATTTTTGTCCAACCATTGAGGCCGCCTTTTCAAATTAACATACAGCACCCATTTCCCATCTCCGGTAACAATTTGCTCTAAAAACGGCAAACGGTTTTGACGAGAGAGGAACAAACTGCAAATCGTGACTCTTTGATTATGGTTGTTGTTGGTCAACTCATGAGGAACCCATTTTCCAAACTTTTGGACTTTGCCAAGTGCACGCAATTGATTGGAAATTGTTTTTTGTGAACAATTTAAAGTTGTCGCAAGCTCTTGTTGGGTAATTTGAGGATTTTGCACCAAAAGAGCTTGAAGAGCTTCTTGATCAAAATTGGACACATGGCCTCAACCACTCTTGTCATCTAACGAAAAATTTCCCTCGTGAAATTTCTCAAACCAACGCTGGCATTTTCTGGCGCTAACTGCATCTTGACCAAGAGCACTACAGATGTTTTTTGCAGCCTCACTTGCTTTTCTTCCTAATTGGAACTCGTAAAGCATGCAGTGCCAAATATGCTCTTCATCCGCCATCTTCTTAGCCCTAGTTTTGCAACAAAAACCAAACCAAACACAAACTTTTTCAAGCAAAACATGTTAATTGCACTTCACACGTTCTGAAGATACCACGTGTTTGAAGGTTATGTCAATACAAGTCAACGCCAAGCAAGATTTTAAACAAATGTTTAAAAACGACATTAATTATTACTAGACCCGATAAATGCTGCTGTTTACTTTACAGGGTTGATTACATGTGTTTATGACTGTGATGTTGGGTTTTAATGCACATAAAATAATGCACTATTTGTTTCAGAATCTTTTTTTCTTCATTTCCCTTCTCTAAAAACTGGTGCGTCTTATGGTCCGAAAAATACGGTAATTCTTACAATATCCTGCTGTACATAATTACTAATAATGAATTACAGTGTTTGCTGACTGATTACAATAATTGTGTTGCATTCATTTCCCTTAGGCACATATTTCTCTCCAATACTATTATAGTAGCAAATATTTTAGAAGCCAATTGCCACGTCATTAGTCTCGGACTGACTTGTTTGGTGTGCACAAAAGGAAATATTTTGCTTTCAGGGAACAAGAAAAGTAGGTTTATTTGCATTACATTTACTAGTTTGTGCAGTTATTCAGTGTTATTAAAATGTACTATTATATGTTGACGACTACTCATTTATTTCAGGCCTTTGTATTCAGCATCTCTATTGAAATAAATCTACGTTTTTAAGAAAATTGAACCTTTTTTTTTTTTGCGTCCCACAGAAATTTAAACCTTATTTGGCCTGTGATAGCTGAGTTTGACATGCTTGGTGTGGAGGGTTTATAGTTGACTTGGGATAAGGTGGGACCTGCCTAACCAGCAGGAGAAACTGGATCATGGTGACCAGCAGGTGCCAGGAAGAGGCCCAGGCTCGGGGCTGCCAGGCAGTGATCCGGTAGGGCTGTCTGCTCAGCTCCATCCCAGCCACTAGGGCCTGATGCTCTGCCATCCCTGAGCCACTTACACACGGATGACATGCCAAGCAGGTTAACTGGGGCTATGGTCCGCCGGTAAAGGGAGCAGCAAAGCACCTTCTCAATGACATTTAAGGTCAACACTGTCTACCCCGTCCTTTTCTTCACCTTCATCAAGTTAAGTCTGGGTAAGGAAACATTATTAATTAAAAAAAACCAAAAAAACAAAACACCCAGCATCTGTAAAAGTAAAAAATGGCTTTAAAAAAAGGAGGGGAGCCTTTACTTTTGTAAGCCGTTGTAAGCCTTCATCCTCCTGTCACGTGAAGACACAGCGGGGAGGAGCCGTCTAGTGGCCAGGAAGTGGCCCTCTGGGAACTAGACCAGGCGGCACCCTGACCTGACTGCCAGCTCTAGAACCTCAAGGAATAAACTTGCTCAGTGCACCCTTCTGTGCTATTTCGTGTGGCAGCCCAAGCTGATAGTCACTGATGCTCTTCCCTCTAGTCTAGAAAAGCAGCTCATGAAAGCAGTTCCTTGGGAGAAGCTCTACTTAGTAACCAGGACTTGGCCTCATGTGTGAAATCACCAGTGGGTTTACATCCCGGCTTGGCCCTAAAGCTGTGGCTCCCAATGGGGCCTGCACATTAGCAGTCCCAAAAGGCAGAACTCCAGATGTCTCAGCTACCTCCCTGTCTCTGGGGTGAGGGCCAGACTTCACTGGCTTTTCCAGCTCCCCAGCTGACTCCAATGTGCACCCTAAAGCTAACCGGTACAATATGGGGCTCAGGGTTCCCCACCAAAAGGAAAGGTGCCAAGCCCTCACTGGTGCTGCAGAGCTGACTGGCCTGCTTTGTGGGGACCAATGGTATGAGGTCGAGTGGGACAGAGGCGATGAATCATTTCAACAAACCACGCCAAAAGAACAGCATCAAGCTCACAAAAGTACTTTTTATTTGAGCAAGAAGTCTGGCTGAAAGGATTCAAATTCCAAGCAACCAAAATCCCATTGTTAGTGGCACTAATTTTCACTTTGTAGATTCAACTTAGTCAGGAAATAGTATCGAGGTTGCATCTTCCCCAGACAAGAAGGGCAAAGAAAACAGGAAGTTTCCAATCTACTGAGACTGCTCATTGGCCCCAACGACAGGCCACACTATACTGCATACTCGAAGAACAAGGCAGGAAGAACGAGGCAGGAGACGGTGGCAGGTGACCTGGGGAAGAGCAGGCACCCACAGCTTCAAAACTCGGCATGGAAGGGGTAATTCTGGTGGGAGGCACAGCTGTCAAGAGAAAGAGGGACACATTAGCATTTTAAGAGATTTCAGCCAGAATAAATTACAGGAAGTCAGAAATGCTGAGTGTCCCATTACAGGCAGAACTAAAGGCCTGAGAGGAGCAAGTCGGCTGAGCTGCAGGCCATGGGTCTGCACTGGGGCGGCCACCCACCCTCACCCTCTGCCGCGGACTCTCGTGAATGACGGACAGAACCCTCCCAGGGCCCAGCACCAGGCCTGGGGTGTTCAGGGCAGCAGGACGCAATTCCTGCTTCTTCCTAATTCCATCCGACAGGCAGGAGAGCATCTTGTCTCAGACATTAACAGGGTGATGACAATGTGAGAGATGTGCTTGGAGTACAGGGAGTCAGGAATGCTCCATCCCTCAGGAGCCTCCTGGGACAGTGGGAGCTGCATGAGCCCAGCGAGCAGTTGAGGATTCGATAAAAGGAACTGGGGAGGGAGGCAGGGCATCGACCTGGGGATGGAGAGCTGCAGCATGTTTGCCAGTCCAGTCCCATCCGGCCGGGCCAAAGACTTGTGTTGGGAACACAACAGCAATAGAGTTGGAAAGATTGGCTGGGCAGAGCCTGAAAGGCCCAGGGTGAATCCACATGGGGCATATAACTCTTACTTAAATCCTCAGAACCATTCAAAGGTCCCTGTGATCTGCCTTTCATTGTATCCCATCAAACCTGAGGTATAAAAGCCGCCATTAGCAGCAGAGGCGAAGTATGTCCATAATCACCAGAGGTAACATGTAGTGTTAGAAAGAGCTCCCTGGGTGCCCTGGGCATGTTGGGGACAGCCTCTCCCACCCCATTCAGACCCCAAACATCCCCACGGACCATTAGTAGCCCAGGGACTAATCTGATAGTGGAGTCTAGAACAGAGAGCGGAGGAAGCCTAAGTGTAAAGGAAACAGATAGAAAACCATTGTGGCCTATTGACCCCGAGAGCATCCATTTGGAATGGATGGCGGGGACGTTCTGAAAGCAGACAGGTGTAAACTGGTGAAAGGTTCACTCCTTCCCCCCTACCGAATGTTTCCAGCGGCACTAGATCCAAAGGTGGTTTAAATGTCTAAAGGTTCAACAGCATTCACTCACACAGCGACATCAGAAAGGGCCCTGGTTGGGAGCTGCCAGTGGTAACCTCTGGGGCCTGTTCTGAGTCTGAGGCCAGGGTGTGACAGCCAGCGTGTTCACACTGGACAGGAGAGTTATCCACCAAGATGCACACCAGGGGACATCTGCCCAGAGCGGCAAAAGCCACCAGGGGGCAGACCCTGCACTGGACAGCTAGCCACCCACCTGGCTCGGGGAATGTTCAATTTCGGGTAAGAGAGTAACTAACTAATAAGGAGACAAAAGGAACCGGCAGAGTTCAGACAGTGAGAGTGAGAACAGTGAGAGGCTCTTAGATGCCCATGGAAATGGGATGGTTCTTCTTAAAAGCAGAAAACAAGTTCTAACGTTAGTTATTGTACGGGCAGGAGAAGGAAATGAACAGCTTCCCTTGTCACCTCCCTCAGAGTCCAAAGGACAAATCAGGGAATACAAGGACCCGGATGTGTGGCTGGAGGCCAGGCAGAGGACCCAGGGACCATCTCAGAGCCAAGTGGCCCATCCGTGCTGGGATGATCTTGGGCCCGAGCACCGAGGTCTTCCCACTACACCCTTTATTGGCGTCATTCTCAGGTAGGGCTGCAGGCAAATTCTTCCACAAAGGTGGGCAGGGCCGCCTGGGCCCTCTGGGTGTCACTGGCAGTCAGAGTTGGAAATGAAAAGCCAGAACATGCGGTTACTGCGGTCAGGCTACAGTGCACCTGGGCCGGGACGAGAAGACACTACAGCAGACACCCGGCCCCTTCCCGGGCCGACACTGGGCGAACGTTTCCAGCGGCACATGCGTGAGGACGCCAGGAAACGTGCCAAATGAGGCCGTGATGGTGACACAGGACGTGGACGCTTCGGCTGCCGGGAGCTACACTTCCGCTCTGCAGTCTGGTCTGCCCCGGACCCACTCACCTCACCAAGGCACAGACCCTCCAGTTCCTATTGTAGCTCAGTAAGGTGGTCATATCCTCGCTGCTCAGCTCAAAGTCAAAGACCTAGGAGAGAAACAGCCAGTAAGCTCTGCAAGGAAAGCTCAACCCCAAGACCGCAGCAGGGCTGAGCGGTGAGGGGAGACGGAGGCTGAACTCGGAGAAAGTTGACTGTTGGGCTATTCAGAGAAGGCATACGGCTCGGCTGGGAGTTCATGAAACAGAATCGGCCCTTCCCTTCAAGGGCCTCCACTGAGTTCATTTCAAGACCCTCCCTGGCATTTCTGCTGTGCTCAGCACCGGGGAGGACCATGATGGGAAGATGTGACTGCCTCATTTACAAAGGACACACAATGGCTAGCTGTAAGAGCAGGAGGAATTCACCGCACCCGGTACGAGGGGCACTGCACACAGCGCTGGGGGGGTGGGGGGGGGTGGGGGGGGAACCGGGAGCCCGCTGTGGTCAGAGGGCCTGGGGCAGGCCTGCGAGGCCACGTCAGGTCTGACAGAGAGCAAGAGGTGCGCCCAGAGAACCGTCTGCACAGAGACCACGGTCCGCGGGGAGCCGTGGCCAGCACGGAGGCCAGCGGGCAGGCCCTGAGCAGCACCGGGGAGACTGGGAGGGCCGGGCACAGGCCAGGAGGCCCTCCGTGTTGGATGATCACAGAACGTGCGAGAAGTCTGCTGCAGACTCTGTGAATACAACTGTGTAAATGTGCAAGGACTACACACAAATAAAATGTTAGCACCATGAGATCTGTCAGTTCAAAATATTCCTTTTCTAACACCTTGAAAATATGAAATATTATACAAGGCAAAGCATCCAATCTCCAATAGTCAAAACATCTGAAGTGAGAAATGCTCTCCTACAACACAACAAGCACCCTCCCCTCCCCAGGCCTCGCCCCGTCTCCCAGTGACCTATGGCCCACGCCCCGGCCACAGCTTGTGGCCAGTGAACAGGCAAAGCCAGCTGCTTCCAGGGGGAACAGCTGCTGGAAACCAAAGTTCAGATGAGGCCGCATGGCCCTAGTGGAGCTGCTCTGCTCAGCAAGCTCAGAGGCCCAGCGCATCAGGCCCCGCCAGAGCAGGCGTCACCCCAGACCCAGCACCAGTGTGAGAGGCAGGGAGGGGTGACGCCAGGCTGATCTGCTCTGGGGGTGTTCCCAGGACCCACAGAGACCACTTCCTGGTACCCTAGTGCCAGCCATGCTGCTCAGCCCACTGTGAGATGGGGTCTCGGCATAGAATGGGCAGAGAGGTGGGAAGGACTGGCAGAGGGGACAGGACTGGCAGAGGGGGTACAGAACTGGCAGAGGGGGAAGGACTGGCAGAGGGGGTAGAGAACTGGCAGAGGGGGAAGGACTGGCAGAGGGAGTGTAGGACTAGCCTGTAGGCTCCTTGCAGACCAGGGACTCACCCTGAGCACAGGAACGTCTTTGAGCGTTTACTTGGGTACCAAGCATTGTGTATAAAGCCCCTAATGTATCTTATTAAATCCTTACGAGAGCTCTTGAAATAGGTATTACTTTACAGATGGGGAAACTGAGGCAACTAATGAAGCTGTGATGCAACTCCAGTGTCACTCACAAACATGTCTCAGGGCAACATGGAGTCACTGAGCTTCAGCACAGGAGTGTGCATGTGCAGGGGGTAAACTGAGGCACGGGGCCCACCCCAAAGCGGTGCCTCCACCCAGAAGGAGCCACTGTCCAAGGTGTGTTCACTGCAGCTTAGTGAGGCTGGCTCCGACCGAGACCCGCCAGAGGGCGGGGTCCCATCCACCCTCCAGGGACAGGCCGAGACCCAGTGAAGAGTCCTCCCCGTCTCCATGAGGAAAACCAGGGACCAGCCAGGCCTTACCTGAAAGTTCTCGGTGATGCGCTCAGGGGTCACAGACTTGGGGATCACGATCAAATTCCTCTGGAGGGGGAACCGGATCAGAACCTGCGAACAGATGTGCCGAGTGTGTACGGATGCTCACCCAGAACTCTGTCTGTCATTATCTCTCTTAACCTTATGCATCCATACCCGGAAGGGGCCATCCCAGAACTTCGAGTGATAAGCCAAGGCACAGACGCTGGGCTAACCCAGCAGCAAGGAGGGTGGCCCTCAAGATCTGGCCCTGGCCCAGCTCTCAGCCACCACACCTCACACTTGTCTCCCAGGCCTCCCACCCGCAGGAGACTGACAGCTCACGGGCCAGGAGCTGCTGCTCCCCCGGGGAGGAGACAGATTCCCACGCAGCTGTAACAAGCTGCTCTAGGAGGGCAGACGCACTGCACTGGCAGTGGCAGCTGCTGGCCCCCGCGGCAGCCTGGGGAGGTACCGAGCGGGCAGACACCGTTATTCCCAGACCACACACACCTTCTAACTCGCAGTCGGTCCCTGTCTACCACACACTCCACAATTCCAAGCCACACTTCCAGGATGGCTTGACGGGCAGGCCACCTCCCCTCTGGCCCACGGGGCCACCCTAAATGCAGTCCCGAGGGCCTGGCTACGGCCGTACCTGGGCTGTGGTTTTATTGTACTTCTTAGCTATGGCTTTGATCCTGGGGTCCTCCAGCAGGGAAGGGTCCTCGGGTTTGGCCCTGGAGACAGAAAGGTGCCTCATGTGAGCAACCGTCAGTGCCGTCACTCAAGGCAGCCGCCATCCCAACCCTGACTCCCGTCAGCCTCGGAGGGCGGCCCGCCAGTGCCCTCCCGATTCAAAGCTTAGTTACAACTCCCAACCCTCTGGAAAGAGAGCAGGCCTCTGGCCACTCGAAAGGCCAACCAGAAACCCAGCAAAGGCTCCTGGGAAGGTCTGCACATCAGCCCGAGCCGTTTTCCGTGGCGCTGAATGTTTCTCTTTAGCCATTTCCAGTGTTCACCAACGGACAGGAAAACACGGCCCCACGGGGACTCACCAGGGCCTGTCGGGAGAGCCGAGGGGACTGTAGGCTGTCACCACGATGCCTTTGGACTGGCAATAACTGATCAGCTTCTCCTGAGTGAGGTACGGGTGGCACTCGATCTGCAAGTGCAAGCAGGAGGCAGATGCAGGCCTGGGCCCTGGCGAGGGCACACTCAGGAAGGTACCCATGCCAAGTCCCACCTCATCCGATAGGAAGTTGTGTAACCAACATCCTATCTCCCAGATAAGCCGCAACCACGGCTACGCTTCCCAGCGAGTGTCCTCGACACTAACAGCACTAACCTTGTTCCTGGCGTGCCCTGACGTGGCCGTGGCCCTAGGGTCTCTCTGGCTTTGGCCACTTATCAGCTGTGACAGGTCTGCGGACCTCAGTGTCCCAGGCTGCTCATCTGTGAGGCCTGGAGCCATCACAGCCAGGCTCAACCCTTCTCTCTACAAGTTTCACCCCCCATGTGCCATGTCATTCTGAATCGTCAGTGAGGACTGTGCCAGTGCCCGGGAGCTTGCCTCCCGGCCGCTCCCTGGTGACATGAACAGCAGTGACCGCCAGAATCAGAGGGCACCGAGCATCCGTGCCCACCAGCTCCCTGCTGGATGCTGACCTGGTTCACCACCGGCTTATGCTTTAAGCCAGGTTTGTTTAAGAGCTTCTCGATCTGGAGATGGTTGAAGTTGGAGATCCCAATGGACTTTACCAGCCCCTCGTCCACCAGCTCTTCCATGGCCTAAAGACAAAAGAGGGGCTGCTTGCTCCTGACACACACCCCGAAGGACAGGGTCAGAGGCATCTTTTACACCAGCCCAGCCCTTACTACCCAGTGCCAGTCAGACCTTGGAGAAGCCAAGAGACAGCAGGACCGGAGCCAGGCTGGCTTTAATGAGGCAGAAGAGCAAAACCAGAGGCGGAAGTGGCATAACTCACACCTGTCCACTCACAAGGACAGCGGGAAGCCAGCTCTGGCAAAGAAAGTCAAACAGGGACAAACAGCCTTACCTCCCACGTGTCCACAAAATCCGTGTCAGAGGGAATCACGTTGCCCTTCGAATCCAACGGGAAAAATTCGCTCCCGGGCTGTCATGACAATCAAACACACACAGTCAGTAACAGCCCTTCATTGACGTGCAGTTACACCTTCGAAAGCAAAGTTCTAAATATGTTCTACACTGCGGGAGCTGGCCACATTTTTAAAAGACAGTCAAGGGCAAATCTGCCCGTGTGAGAAAGAAATAGGCAGATGACTCTTGAAGCTCCCTACAGTTAAGATCAAATGGGCCGGAGCGGACAGTTAGATGGAAATGGGTCACTCTTGGTCAGGGAAAGGAGCCCCGCCATGGACTAGAGTGTGTGGGTGGAGGGATGACTCAGACCAGAACTCGCAGGGACCACGTGCTGGCTGGATCACCAGACTAAAGGACCGTCGCCTCGCCTAGCCTCGGTGGCTTATCAAGAAACAAACAATGAAAGTCAGGCCTGGATACCTCCAGTGCAATGAAAGAGAGCTATAGGGTAAACTCCACACTTTCTATCTGGCTGACAGAGCGGAAAACTGAGCCTGCAGCTGGATTGCACAAAGGGCATAATAACACTAGACTCCTTCTGTGCAGAATTAGAGTGCTGATACATAGTCACCAAGCCTCCACAGGATGTGGCATGTGTGTGGAATGTAGGAATATGCACACGTACACAGGTGCGGAGTATGAACGTATACGTGCACGCGTGCCTCTTGGCAGGGCGGGGATAGCGGGTAACATCTGGGCTGGGTGCAGGAATGTCCTGAGTCATGTTGGTTGTTACAAGGTTGTAAACCGCACAATCACCCACCAACCGGGGCAGGACTTCTGAGTCTCTGGGGTTTGGATGCAGAGGCCGTGGGTGGGGCCCAAGACTGGTTTCTAACATGCTCCCAGGTGATGTTGCTGCTGCCGGCCTGAGGACTGCCCTGGAGCAGTCACCACACACAGAGTGCGTCCACTCACCTGCTAATAAGGAGGCCCCTGCCTGCACGGGCTACCCCTGAGCCGTGCCCTCACCTTGAAACTGACGGGCCAGTGGATAAGGTAGAGGTCCAGGTAGTCCAGCTTCAGGTCGCTGAGCGTCTTCTGGCAGGCTCCTTTCACCAGGTTCTTGTCATGGTACGTGGACCACAGCTGAAGCCAGCGAGAGAACACATCCTATCACTCCACGCAGGAAGCGGCTTCCTGGCTGGAGCCGGACGGCTTGAAGCCAGATGATTCGCTCTCCTCTCACCATAACCCACCCACGTCACCGTGATGCTACACACTGTGGCAGAGGAGACTCCACTTCACAGTGTGGGTGCTAACTTTCCAAAGGAAGGCAGGATACCTCCAAAGGGACCAAACTCAAGGCATGAAATAGAATGGACAGCTGGGCACCAGCCCTGGCCCGACACGTGAGTCTCAGGGCTATGTTCCTATAAGGCCCGTCTTCAGAGCCAGCTTCACCTCCAGGCGGTGGCCAGCAGTAGAGATCTAGTTTGTAGATGGGAACCAAGTCCTGCCTTAAAGATAAGTCCCTGGAAAGAAAGCACCAACCACGACCTCAGCCTCATTGGCAAGGGGCCTTAACCAACGGGTCCAGTGGAAATAACTTCCAATAGGCAGCCATGGACGGGCAAGCTCGGGAGCCCGCTATGGCCTCGAGTCTACACATTCTCCCTGAAAGACCTGTGTGCCCGGGGATATAACTGGAGCTGCAGTAAGAGGCCCCAGAGTACAGCCTTGGCTCCTAAGCTGATGCCACCAACGGATAAGATGAACGAGACCCGTATCCCCCGGCTCCCAGGAGCAGCACCTTGCTGACGATGAAGAGGTCCTCACGCTTCACCACCTGCTCCTTGATCTTCTCCTGGATGGCCACGCCCACCTCGTTCTCGTTCTGGTACACGTGGGCACAGTCAATGTGGCGGTACCCAACGTCAATCGCCACCTTCACAGCCTCCGTCACTCTGCCCGGAGAGGACTGGAAGGAAACGGAAAGCATGGAGTTAAAATACACAATGAAACAGAAGACAGTTTGCGCACAACCAGGGAGGACAGTGTGAGCCTCCCGCTCCTCACAGAAGCGCCTGTTCCTGTAAGGCCGGCACTGAACCTTTTGCTCTCAGACAGACCTGAAATGCCAGATGGCTTCATTTTAGGATAATGCAACAGCAGCATCGATCACCTTAAAGAGATGTGCACAGACGTTCGCTCCTTGTTTCTTCACATCAGTTGATTTACAAACCACTGTATAAAAAGACCCCCACTGTCTGGATCTCCGAGGTTCCCATGACCATAAAGGATACCATTTCCTTTGAATAGCTCAAAGTATTACAAAAAAACACTGCTCTAAATGTTTCTCCAATTCCCATTGGGTTTCAGAGTTCAGTAAATCCTGTGCTTCACTTTCTCTTTTTGGTGCCTGAATTCAGATACTGGCAATCCCTTGCTTGGAAGCAGTTCTGGGAGACGCTCATAGAGTCAAGAATATTACTGATACAAAGGCCTGGGCATCAATTCTCACGCTGTCTGAATCTCGGAACATCACCATATGGTTTGTGGTCACAGCTACGAAGAAGCTGTCTGCGCCCAAACCAGCTGAGTGACCAGGACAGGTGTGGGGAGCCTGGCTGTTGAGGAGGAAGAGAAGTGCCTGCATAGCCATTAAGCTTCACCCAGATCGACTGTGTAGATTAGGGGTGTCGAACTCAATCAGAGAAGGGGCCAAAATCTAAAATCCAGCCTAAATTGCGGGCCGAATGGTTTACTGAACAGTCATAAACTGTCATTGTGATGGAAACGCAGCGGAGTGCAGTGATGACAGCGCGGTGCGGGCCACATTGCAAGGCCTGGCGGGACGGATTTGGCCCGCGGGCCTTGTGTTTGACACATGTGGTGTAGATACTTGCTCCATCTCCTGCTCAGACCAAAGAGGTGGAAAATAAGCAGTGCACAGACTGTTGAAAGAATCGAGGGCATTCCTCTGAGACTGGGGTAGAAAAGAATGAAAGGGAAACTCCCTGGGACCGGCACAGCTGCAGACATCTGCTGCTTTATCAGCTGTTGTGAACAGGCGAGGGGGGGAATATGGAGCCAAGAGAATAGAGCGTGACCTGAGCCTGCTAGCACCCTGAGCTTGCTATCCACCATGGAGGGAGCAGGGAGGCGGCTGGCACCACCCTCCGGTGTTAGATCAAAGAACACCTTCAGACCTGACAACCTCCTCTTTCCTTGGAGGACGTAAGCAGCTGCACCTGCAGCCCTGCCCAACCTCCATGGCTCAAGGAACAGAGCAGAGCAGTAGACCGTAACTGCCTCAGCTTCTCTCTGTGGCATCCTGGGCACAGCTGATGCTGATGTGAGAAGTGGCAGCAAAGCACACCCCTTCCCAAGAGGGAGGACAAGTGAGGGACCCAGGTGGGGGAAACTGCCCAGCATGCATTTAAGTTTCTTCAGGCGTAATGGAACCCGGATTTTCTCTGCAGAGCCCTGTCATGTGCCAGCCCAGCACCGTGTAGCCCCAACCCTGGACAGAGGGGTGGGCACCTCTCTCAAGCCTGGCCTAGTCACACACAGTGACTGGTACAGGGGCAGAGACACGACCACCCGAGCCAGGCCCATGAGAGCCAATCTTTGGCCTTCAGTTGGCACCAACAGGACAACATTTCGTCCTTCGGGGGTCACTGTGCTGGGAGGATCGGAGCCAGGAGCTGCTGGAGGACAGAGGGATTGACGGACAGATGAGGGTTACGTTTTTTAGGCTTGGATCTGGTTCACCTGAGGTCATTTTGTAGGTCAAGAAAGCATATTTTCACACCCTTTCCGAGAGAATAATCTGCAACAGATGGCATTTAACTCAGTGTCACGGTCATAATTCAGTTACACCCTTGGGGCCACCACTGGTTTTTTTGAAGGAAACACAGTGATTACTAATATTCTGATGACTTTAGCCAACAAACATGGCCTGTGTGAGGCAAGTCTAGGACACCCCCTTCCCCCGCCCCCTTCTTACCCGCCTTATATTTACTAATTTATAGGGTTGTCCACGCCACCGCAGGGGTGCAACTCAGTCCTGTCTTTTCTTCCCTTGTCTGTGTGTCAACATCCAAGGCCCGCGCCCACAGTCAAAGTCCGTGGGAAAACCCGGGCCATAGCCGTGGAAAGTAACGTGTAATACCTGAAGCTACCTCCTGAGCGGCTTAAAAAGATTGGGTTTTGCCCCATAATACCACGTTCCGTACCCCCTAATTTTCAGATAAATCTGGCTCTCCACTCTATTCCTAACCATGTCTTCCTTCGGGGCGCTGGGAGGGAAGAGATTTCGGTGGTGATCAGGTTTGGGGGGGGGGGGGGGGGAGAGAGCGTTTCCACACTGATGCTAACAGGTTTCCTGGGCGGTACCCACCCGCGCCCCGATTCCCCGCGGCGTTCCCGGGGGACCCCCCCCCCCCCCAAAGCCAGGCGGGGCTGGAGGGGCTCAGCGCTGCGCGTCTGGGGAGGAGGACACGGATGCGCCCTGGGCAAACCCGCGCCCCCTAATTTAATTATCCGCGGTCTCCGGGCGCAATTACTTACTCCGAGATGATTATTCCAGAGAGAAAAAAAGGAAACGATTCAGAGGCCAAACTATTTATAAGACAGACAAGGAGGCGGCGCAACCGGTGCCCTTCGCAGCGGAACACCCCATCTCCTTCGGATCCGCCTCCCGCGGTCCATCCCCGCGGCCGGGCGGCGGGGGCTCCGGGATGCACCCCTTTTCCTTCGTCCTTTTTTAGGGACCTTTCCAGCTGGGATCGGACTCCCAGCGCGGACCGGGGGCCAATCCCATCTGGTGGGCACAGAGGCGGCCTCACGCGAGCCCCCGGCCCGACCCAGGAGCCAGCGGCCAGCCCACCGCGGGGCCCGCGGGGCGACCGGGAGGCCAGGCGTCCACTGCGGGGCGGCTGGGTGTCCCTCCCGCCCCCTTTCGCCCAGGCTGCGCGGAACCCCCCAAAAAGTCGGACAAGAGCTGAAGGACGCGCCCCCTCCGCCCCTACCTTCCAGGTGCCCAGCCCCACGAAGGGCATCTTGGCGCCGTTGGAGAGCACGATGTGGGTCGCCATGCTGCTGCGCTGCACACTCAGACCAGGCCCGCGGACCGCGACAGCGTGGAGCCGGCGCGCCTTTAAATAACCGGTGCCCCGGGCGGCCGGGGGGGGGCGGGAGGGCTGGCGGTTGGGGAATCTGGTCAGCGGCCGGCTCCGCAGACGCGGCTTCTGATTGGCTGGCCCGCTGAGCTCGTTCCCAGCGCCGCGGAGGCGCCGCTTCCGTCGGGTCCTAGCGGGGCCGAGTTGTGAGTGCTGGGATCCTGGCCTTCCCCCCCTCCTCCCCCCATGTGGCTTGGGAGACCTCGCCCATCCCTGCGGGGTCGGGGAACGCGAATGCTTTAGCAAAAGTAAGAGGCAGCCTGCAAATAAGCAGCCTGGAAAGGAGTGTTTGTTTGTTTGTTTTGTTAATATCCGGAGACTAGGTTTGCCTGTTGTCCAAGCCCAGTATCTTGCTCTTCGAGAAGCTGACAAATGTCGGGCCCATAATTTGTATGAATCATATTAGCCACTTTGCTCTTGGGAAGGTGCCTATAAGAGAAATGCCTTGCAATCTTGTTGCAGAACACTTTCTGGACATTTGGGTTTGCCCAGCCTGTATGTAGGTCTCGGGCTTTCTTGGCACCTTCACCCTCTAGGTGTGAGCTGTGTGTGGGTTCGGTTCAGCCTTCCTCCAAAAGCCAGCATTTCTGCAGGATAGGAAGCCTCCGTGAGCTTGATCCTGAACACACAGAAGCTATTCAGTCTTTAGAAAGTGAGACCTTATCAAAGCAGCAAGTTTCAATCTGGTAATTTAGTAAGACTTGAGAAGTAAGAGTGGGCAGAAAGTCACAAAAGAAAAGTTAGCTTTAATAGGACTTCAAATAGGACTCCACTGACTTTAAATTAGTGGGCGATAAATAATAAATAGGCCAACCCTAATTGGCAGGTAAGACTTCTTTCTATTCTGCCTCAAGAAGAATACATTATTTTCCAAAGATAACCAAAGAAAACTTGCTGGAAGAGCTTTAAAGACAATTTTGGTTTATTCCCAGTGATCGCTGTCCATAATGCTATGCCCTACCCCAAACGAGCTCTTTCTGCTCCATCACCCTCCAACCTTTCCCCTCACCACGCAAGGCTGAGAACTCCATCTGCCTGCTAATGACTCAGGAGCCAGACCTCTACACTCCATTCTGGTGATTTTCCATTCAGTGATTTCTGAAAAGTGCCCCCTAGGAAAATTTTATACACAACGGACCAGCCCAGATATTTTTCCATTTGATTTTTATAAGAACTCATGTTAGTAGGCAAATTCTGTTGCTATTTGTCTCCAAAGAATATAACTTTAGCTTAACCCTAAAGCTAGGAACTTGGTTTGTGGGTAAAAAAAGCAGTAGCCCACCACTCTTCCTTCATAAGATGGTGACATAGAGGCTGCTGTCCAAAGAGCTAGTCTTTTTTGAAAATGATACACCTTGAGTGACTAGGTTGATTGACACCGAGGGGTCATCTGTGAGGGACATGGTCTCAGTATGAGGGGCTTTGATGTTTCTATGATGACTGAGTATACAAGCTGACTGTATAACGGTGTGGCTGTCTAAAAGTGGAATATTCTGACCCAGTTACCTAGATGTGAGAAGCCAGACCAGTGGAATTTCTAAAGTAAAAATAGGACCATAGTTGGGACCATACTATTATGATAGTCTCCTAACTGCATCATTGTTTGCATAACCTTTTAAAAATGTCATTATGCACATATCAAAATTATGCTTTAAAAACTCTTCAAGCCTAAACAGGTTTGGCTCAATGGATAGAGCGTCGGCCTGCAGACTGAAAGGTCCCGGGTTTGATTCCGGTCAAGGGCATGTACCTTGGTTGCGGGCACATCCTCCGTGGAGGGTGTGCAAGAGGCAGCTGATCGATGATTCTCTCTAATCGATGTTTCTAACTCTCCGTCCCTCTCACTTCCTCTCTGTAAAAAATCAATAAAATATATTTAAAATATAAACCAAAAAAAAACTCTTCAATAGAATCCTTCTGATAAATATTCTAGAACTTAATATTGAGAGCAATAAAAATATTAATGTACTTTGAACCAGTAATCCCATAATGAAAGCAGTAACCTCATCTTGATGAAATAATTTTAAAGGAAACATGTTTGTGCACGCTCACGCGCGCGCGTGCACACACACACACACAATAGGTATGGGGCTGGGACTAGGGTGAGGAAAGTGTAGATAACATATAGCCATTAAATATAAAACTATATAGATATAGAGAAGGGTATATGAAAAAAAATACTAAGGTGAAAGTAGATAATAACATCATAAATATGGCATGATTATAAGCATAAAAACAACAACTTGTAACAAAGTTAGGAAGAAGCCAAAGGAGATGAAGAATACTGTTTGTCATATTATTTGATTAATAAACACATTTTATAATTATGAACCCTCCAATCTCCCTAGGATAAAACTCCAACTCCTTAGCCTAGCATCCAAGGTCCTGTGAAATCGGATATTAACTGTAAATATATGAAAAAAGCACCAAATTGTATACTTTAATAGTGTGACTATTATGGTATGTTGTATGACTATTAAAGCTGTTATAAACAAACATACAAAGGATATGGGGCGGTATAGAAAGAAGCTATAACTGGAAACTGTGAAAAAATAATTAAACAAGACCAAACAATTTGAGTAATTTACAGCCAACTAATGAATCACAAGGTTGTATCTTCCCTTACCAAGGACGCTTAGGAGGAAATGTTTTATACAGACTGTCCAGGGACAGACTGTCCTTAGTCTTGGTCCCTCTTTGATAACATTCTTTGAAAATAAAACTAATTAAAAAAAAATAACCCTAACCCCTCTATATGCACATTTTGATGAATCAACATATCCATGGACACATCTGGAAAGCTAATGACTATTCTGGTAAGACCCTCCCCTAAACCCTCCTGCAGGATTATCGCCAGCTAAAGATAAAAAGTCTCAAGATAAAGGACCTGAAGTGCCCTCCTTTAGAGCACACCCACACCTTGTATCTCTGCTTTCTTTCTTCTGCTCTAAGGGCTCCAATGAGACTTAGAACCAGGAGAGCACCTGGCAGTGGCAGCTCATCCCAACTTTACTTCTTGAACCTGTCTCCCACACCCCTTCCCCCACCATCTTTAACTCCCCCCCCCTACTTCCAGTGAGCTAACAGTAGCCCTGCCTTGGCTCACTTCACTGTGACTTTAACTTCTCAGTGAGCTCATGAAGCCCAGTGTGGCTAACTTCTTCCCTATAATGCCACTAGGAAACCAAAGCAGCCTCACCTAGGTTCTCTCTGGTTGCTTCTTCTACCTCTGTCCTTCCTTTGTTTCACTATCCCCAGCTTTAGTAAACATACCCTCAAAATCACTTGGACTCATGTGACATCTTTCCGGCATGAAGTTAAGAACCCACACATTACTGGCTGGCCTGAGGCAGACCTGCTCTGGGCTTAATCCAGGTAACATTCTCAGGTAGCAGGACACTATGACAACCACACACAGGGGACATGAGGCCAGCTTCAGGAGAAACCATGGGGTAAGCCTTCCTGCCAGCCAGAAAATGTGACTTCTGCCCACTTCCTATCATGCCACCTCGGCCCACTCCATCCTTCCACAACTCTGGTCAAGCAGTCACAATTTGGGGATAAGAACACCTGACATAGGTCCTGTGGAGAGGCAGGAAGCAGGGAGAGGCAACAGGCAAACAGGTAAGAGCCACAGGAAGAGGTCAGAGAGACCTGAGCCACTGCCATGGAGCTGGGTAAGCCTTACAGATTCAGGAAACTACCAGTGAGCAGGCTCCAGTGTGTCAATATTTGTTCACGTTTGTTTGCATGATGAGATTCAGATCGAGAGAAGGGTCAATATGAACCTTCTTCATTGATACTGGGGAATGGCTAACATTCAAAGAGAGAGAAAAATAAACATTTTGTCACTTTTAAGCACAGTTGTTCCATAAATTCTTGTGAATAACAGCATCCACACATTCTTTATGGAAGAAGTGTAGTCAGTAAACAAATGCATTCATTTATCCAACAAATATTTAATCCCAATAGGTACTGTTTTAGGTTCGGGGATTACAGAGATAAACAGGACAAAGTCTCTGACCATAGAAAGCTTCCTTTAGGGAGGGAGGGAGGGAGGGGGGAGGGGGAAAGGGAAGGGGAAGGGAAGGGGAGAGGAGGAGGAGAGGGAGAGGGAGGGGGAGGTGGAGAGGGAGGGGGAGGGGGAGAACATATCTAAAAACAAGCCAATATAACACCTGGCCAGATATTGATAGGCCACATGATGAAAATAAAAGAGATGCTAAGGATGGAGGTGAGAGCAGGGTCCATTGCATTGACAGAGAAGGTGAAGAGGGAGAGGAAGCCACAGGGAGACCCATCCCAGCGAGTGAGGAGGGTCCAGCGTTGGCCTTGAGGGCGGTAAGAGTTGACTTTGGTGTGTTTGGGTGAGGGCAGGAGAGGGTGGGAGAAGCAAGGAAGTCTGCGTGGCTAAAGCAGAGAGAGGGACTTGGCGGTCCTCAGGAAACGCAGTTGCAGGTGACATGGGAGAGAACAGGACACCAGGGTGGAGAGTACCCCGGGGCTGGGGAGGGACTCTATTCTCTGAGGAGGCTCCACATTTCATTATAAACTGCAAGAGCTCTGCGAAAACCCTGAAAGAAGTCTTGTCTGCTGCTGCAGGCGTCATCAGTTTCACCAGAAGCAGGGCTCTGAGTCACCAGTTTTGTGGAGAAATGGGACCACATGCCAGAGAAACTCACTGACTTTGCAGAGATCTCTGGAAAACATGGGAGGGAACTGCAGGCAGTTTTCTGTTGTTGTTGCAAGAAAAGGAAAGCCCATTGTGAAAACCACTTGTTCAGCTTGAACATTTATGCGAGTGAATAAGCCGTAAAGCATTGTACACGTTTAAAATATTGTTTCTGTGAAGGAAATCGATTTTCAGTGCAATAAAACTCACTGCACAATTCCAAGTGTATGTTTTTATGTGTATTCTTCCAGGGAGGCATTCAAAGCTTTTTTTCATATCCTTAATTGGGTTTCTGCACCCCAATGGTGTAAGAGTGTCAGAGAGCAGCCTCCATAAAATAT